TTCATTATCTAATTGTAAAGATCTTTCGTGTGGAAGTGGTAGTGGTATAATTTCTTGTAAAATTTCATTTTCAATGAAGTTCATCAATGGGTCAGTGTCAGTGGTATTAGATGGATGTTTGGGAAAATAATGCATATGTAATTTATCTCGATCTAGTTCAAAAATTGTAATTAAATCATTGATATTTTTATTCACAAGTTCATGAAGAAACTTCATTTTTTCTTTGCTCATGATATACGGAATGAACCATTTCAACTCTAAGAAATAAAGAAGAAAAAAACGCGAATATATAAAATTTCGTTTTAATATGATGAATATTTTATGCTAAGACTTTCATCGTGTAGACGCCAACGACTGTGAGAGCACTTCATGTGAGGGATTCGGTTGTACTTCGGAGTCGTTCATATTATGATGTGTAGAACTGGTGTATATGATCAAAAGCGAATCTTCTCCTGGTTACACTATTTGAGAATATAACAGAATAATTCCTTGGTCGACTATGCTTGAAGAAATCTCTGGGTGAATTATTCTCAAGTGATAAATATCATTTTGCCGTGAGTTATCATTTGATTCATGGGGCGAGCCCATTTGTACGTCTGATGTGGTTAATTCTTCTGGGAAAAAAGAAAGTAGATACCTTATAAAAGTATCCGTGGAGGATATATATAGGCGATATTTGCGTGTAGGCGAGCCGAAGAGTATCTCAAATTTTCGTAAGTTGATACTTTATTGAATTTCCACGGATCATATTGTTGAAACTATAGTATTTACCTTTAGTATTATGACTATATACTTTTGAATGAATGTTTTGCAGGAACTTTTTCGTCGTATTGTGCAAAACTTCTTTTGTATCAGGTTTATTTTCATATTTACCGACTAACTGAATTCGATACATAGTTTGTTCAGTATCATGCCAGCTTTTTTTTCGTGAAGAATATAAACTGATTTCAGTTTGAAATGAAAGCCGTTTAAATAGATATTCTTGTAAACATANCTCAAATGATATGATAGGGTGTAAAATGAAAAATCTCTGTGATAGGGTAGGGTAAGGGTACAGAGCCCGTAGGGCAGGGTAGGGCAAGGTTACGAAGCTATAGGGCAGGGTAGGGCTAGGGTACGAAGTTTTACTATAGGGCAGGGTTAGGGTACAAAAAAGTCTTAACCTGCAGGACTCTACTGTCTGTGTCCTCCTATCTGATCAGAGACTAAAAATCAATATACTTTTAAAAACCTGGAAAAAACGATTTGATATTTCACGAGTTGTAATAACTGTTTTTGCATGTGATGCTGTAAACTATGATCACTTCGCAGTGGGTTCAATCGAGAACAGATATGAACTCACTGCTATTTTGTTTTTGTTATTATCAATATTATATCGTAGCTTACTCTAGCAGCCTTTAACTTAGTGTCTCATTATTATTTAGTAACGTTGTTATATTTCACATGAATAAACTTTTCTTGAGATACTTTTTTTTCCCAAAAATAACCGATTTTGGGTTCACAGCTTGAAACTTATGTAAAATACAACTTAGATTGAGCTAACGGACATATGCTGCTAGTCTTTTCTCCCAACATAAATTGAGATGAAATGAAGTAAACGTTGATTGTCGAAAGTTCGAGTTTCTACTTGACTTCAAAGTTAAAAAACTTGTTGTTGGAAGAGAAAGAAGTGATTGTATGGCAATTTTCCAAGCATAAATATTATTGTTTTGTTTTCAGCGACATAAGAACAGAAGAAATCGACTTTTTTAAAATTTTCTACAATTTCGAAGAAAAAGAGAAGAATCGCCGAGTAAAAGTGGTAATACATTTTGAAACTCGAGGTTCAGATTAGAAAGCGCGGTTGCAATATGATTCTGATTCATCTGTGATCTTGTAAGAAAAAACATTTTCAAATTACCTTTAAAATGCTTGATTCTCTGGCCCGGTCCTATTTGATTTGAAACGAAATAAAATGATTCACGCGAAGCTAATTACTAAACACTCTTCGATTGTTGTGGGTGGTTTTCAAAATTCTCTGATCAAGTTTCTTCACTTTTTGTGAATTTCATTGCCTTTCTTTAAGAAGAAATAACACTTAATTATGAAATGGTTTCAACAAAAAACAAAATCATTGTGTAAGTAACAATTTCGATGATATAAGGTCGTCAAAGTGATGTAGACAATTAGGAATAGTTTGCGCAAGAAATATTGGTTTTAGGTAAACAAGACAAGGAATCATTAATAGAAAATAAAACACTTACTATTTCAACTTCTATGAAAAACTGTTTCTTTCATAATGTGAAAAAGAGTTGTTATTCTCGTGCACAAGTTGGATTTTTTTCTGTTAAATAACTATTCTTTCATTATTTTTCTAACTCGGAAGAAAGAGAAAACGCAAACAATCTCTTCTACAATGCATTTTTGTTGCTATTATATGTCATTTGACGTTTGCTTCTTTCGATTTGTGAATAATACTCATTCAAATTATTTCTAGATTCAATTGACACCATTTCCTCAATACATCCATTTAACTCTTAGCCAAAAAAGAGTTCAATCAACTTTTTTTTTATCATCGATATTGCGAATTGCTTTTATTTTGAATTTGTAAAATGGTAACACTACCCATCTCAGACAGCATCATGGATTATTCGTTTGAAAATGATATTCAAAAAAGATTTTTTAAAATTCCACAATTTCGTCTATGTTTACAAGAATATCTATTTAAACGGCTTTCATTTCAAACTGAAATCAGTTTATATTCTTCACGAAAAAAAAGCTGGCATGATACTGAACAAACTATGTATCGAATTCAGTTAGTCGGCAAATATGAAAATAAACCTGATACAAAAGAAGTTTTGCACAATACGACGAAAAAGTTCCTGCAAAACATTCATTCAAAAGTATATAATCATAATACTATAGGTAAATACTATACTTTCAAAGATATGATCCGTTGAAATTCAGTAAAGTATCAACTTACGAGAAATTTGAGATACTCTTCGTCACGCCCACACGCAAATATCGCCTATATATATCCTCCGCGCATATTTTTATAAGCTATTTATGTGCTTATCTACAGAAGAATTAGTCACATAAGACATGCAAACAGGCTCGCCCCATGAATCAAATGATAGCTCACGGCAAAATGATATTTATCACTTGAGAATAATTCACCCAGAGATTCCTTCGAGCATAGTCGACTAAGGAATTATTATATTATATTATACCAACGAGTGTAAGCAAAAACAAGACTAAATTTTGATCATACACACCAGTTCTGCACACTATCATTTGAACGAGTCCCTAGGGTAACCGAATCTGTCACATGAAGTTCTCCCACAGCCGTTAGTGTCTACACGATGAAAGTGTTAGCACAAAATATTCACCATATTACAACGAAATTTTACATATTCGCGTTTTTTCCTTTATTTCTTAGGGTTGAAATGGTTCATTTCGTATACCATGAGTAAAGAAAAAATGAAGTTTCTTCATGAACTTGTGAATAAAAAAATCAATGATATAATTACAATTTTTGAATTAGATAGAGATAAATTACATATGCATTATTTTCCCAAACAAACATCTAATACCACTGACACTGACCCATTGATGAACTTCATTGAAAATGAAATTTTACAAGAAATTATACCACTACCACTTCCACACGAAAGATCTTTACAATTAGATAATGAACTAAAGCAAATTACGTCACAAGAAATGAAAAATGATGAAATTCTAATTACACGCAATGGTATCTCTCGACACGCCAATCAAAAAGATATTGTCCTCTTTGGTTATGATAGAAAAGTAATTGAAATACAAAAGCAAATTTTAACTGTAATCGAAAAATATATTCTCATCACATACAAATTAAATTCTATAGGACAATTTCAAGTAATTGTTTTACAAAAAATTCTATCAATCATTGCACTTTCTTAAATTTAATTAGATTAACACATTGGATGAAGCTCACTGGAGTGCATTGGAAGATATTGAAACGCAACACAAAGATTGTGGTGTTGATATTCGATTGACACTCAACGAGTTTTCAGCTCCTCGACATTTAAAAGATGAAATTGAATCATCTATCGAGAAACTTTTATCCCAGCCAGCAACAACCATTGAGTTCAGTAGTATTCCATTGCTTACTGATATTGCTGAGAAAGAAGAACAACATGTACGAGCCATTGCTCAGCGCTGTTATTGCAGTGTTAAAACTGAATTACTGTGTAACTATCAATCGTATCCTTTACCAAAAGCATCGATATCCAACAAGCAAATTTCAAAAGCAATACTAGAACAATCTGAACTATTTTGCTCGTCCCCCGATGTATACAAAAAAAGGATTATAGCCGATGGATCAATTGAACTTCGTACAGGAGATATAGCTTTACAAAAAGTTCGTTGTACGAATTATGTAAGAAATTATTATATTTTTATTATGAATTTCTAGGTTGATACAATTATCATTTCAACAACATTCAATGGATTAAGAGAAGGTGTTATAGACCGACTTGGTGAAATAGATTATGAAAAAACTCATTCCGACGTCGATGGTACGATGTACACTGAAACCAACGGAGGTAAACTAAATTGTAAACGAGTTTTATTTACAAATTGGTTACCAAATTCATTAATCAATAATGATAATGCATTACGACTATCAATAAAAATATTTATTTCGAAATCTTTCGAATATACAATACAAGACAATGATACTCTATCCATTGCATTTGCTGTACCAGATTCATGTAACAATGAAAATATTCTAGCTGATGAAATGATTCATGAAGCTAAACGACAACTGAAAACAAGAAAATTACCATTAAAAGTTTCTTTCGTATGCTTACCGGAACAGAAAACTCTTTACGAACAATTCTCTAATATTTTTCAAACTAAAAACGATGTTGGTATATATGTCGATTGGCTTAATACAAGTAAGATTCTTGATATTACGTTCTTTTGAAAGCAATACATGAGTTTGTTTTGATTCATTATAGTCATCAAAGTAACACTGATTGGCTATACAATTGAAGATGCACAAAAATGTGAAAAGACAATAAGCAGTTATCTTTCCCGATGTATTTCTTCAGTGAAAATAACTAAGTCGAATGATATTTTTCAATCCTGGGATCAACACGCAATAAATTCATTTTATAAATATTGTAAAGATCGATGTATATTACCAAAAATCGCTGAAACTAAAAACGAAATAGAATTAATGGGTCCACCTACGAGTATTTTAGAAATAAAAAAGAAACTATTGATCTTGTCTGAATTAATGGCGGAAAAGCTACGTGCTACAACAACAATGGGACGGCCAAGTTCAGCTATGAGTCATTCCACTGCACGATCTGAAAATATAACTAATGTTAGAATGGGTAGATTATACAATGTTGTTGTTAGTTATAGCCGAAATGATTTGAGAAAATGTCAACGATTAATCAATCGATTAACTGAAGAAGGTTTTTCCATCGGAACACATTCGAAGGTAGCAGACGAACAACATGATCTATGTTCTGAAATGGATAAATCAGATTGTATCATACTTTGTATTAGTGGAAACTATTATGAAAATCCATCATGCATAGCAGAGGCTAAATATGCTTTTCAAACGGATAAAAAAGTGTTTCTTGTTAAAATCCAAAATAATCCCATACTTGGTTGGAATAGTGATCCTTTTGATGGGAAATTATTTTTTAATTCATTTGGTTCAGATCTTTACTTTGATTTGGAATATGGTCGACTATTAATTGAATTAGTAAAATAGTTAAAAATAGATTTGATTGTCGTAGTTAACAAAATTTTCTCATTTTAGTTACGATTTACGAAGCCTGGATTTACTTCTGTTTTACAACGAAGATCCAGCCGTGCACAAATAGATCCTTCAATACTACAACAGTCATTATCGATTGAAAATTCCTCAAAAACAAAACATCGAGAGGCGACCAATTCAAGTATAAAATCACTAAGTACAATTATTAGTAATACTAAAGAAGAAAGAAAATCAAATGATCATTTAAAAAATATTGTTCCTAAACGTAAGTTTATATGTGGATTCGAAAATTTCAATATAAAGAAAACAGATTCATACATAACTAGGAATATTATAAACTTTATGTGAAAGTGATTAAGTTAGATGACTATAATTAGTAACTAATATCAACTACACTTTGCTTAACATATTAATCATGCAATGACTGTTAATTGTTTTAGGAGAGCTGAGTTTCTTGGAAGAATGTTGGCTTCGAAAGTTAATTGATAATCAAAAACCAAATTTAACATTATTTGGATTTGATAGAAGGGAATATAACAACGATGGTGACGATGGTGATAATAAAAGAAATTCAGCTGAACTGCTTGCAAATAGTTATAAAATTTCAGATAACTATGTGAACTCAATTCTGTATACAAGCCCCTTCTGTGGTCATTCATCAAAGCCCAGTCCATTCTCTGTTGGTCGTGGATGGTCCTCAGTACATGATACTCCGATGTTAGAGTGGCATGTCAATAAAATGCCGATAGATGAAGATCAAACATATGGAAAGCCTACAGAAAAGTTAGAAGTTCTCAATGGTTTATCTCAGGTATTTCCAACTACTGAGCATTCTATTGATGATTTTATACCACGTCGACGGCCAAGCAGATATTTTTATTCTATATCTTATAATGGAGGTGATGGTGATTATCGAGATGCGAAACAAATGAAAGAACGTCTTGAACTCGAGAATCCAGAAAAAATGCAACACATCCGAGTAAAACTTGCTGACTATTTTATGAACACATATAAAAAATATACTAGAGAAGAATTGGATTTTTATTTAACATTTGCACAGCGCATGAAAGATAATACTGTGAAATTTGAAGCCTTCTGTTTGACAATTACAGCTACAACAAATAAATGATGTTGTGATTGAAAATAAAATAGAATGGTATAAGGGTGTGGGTGTGAGTGTGACTTAGACGGGGAGAATAAGTGGAACCACACCCACATCCTGTCCTTTCATTGCTGATTAGTGGGGTGTGCATATTCTGAAGAAGTACCGTTTACTCATTGTGCTGCTATTGATGACACAGTTCAACAATTATTCTTCCTCCTCCTTCTGTTGTCTTTCCATTGTTCTAATCTCTCTCTCTCTCTTGGATGGTGCGTGTTGTACGCAGGATATCACTAGGTAAAACAGAATAATAAATTGTAATTAAGATTAGAAATTGAAAATAGGAAAGTTCCTGTTGATGGGTTAGGAAGAAACGTAATTTTCTATTTTGTGAATTGATTTAAATTAGATCGGAGTCTCTATAACAATTACTATGGTTAGACTATTTTTCTGCCTTGTTGTTCTTCTCACATTCCACCCACAGTCTGTGTAAAAGCAGAAAACAATGATTTTTTTATAAAAAAAAGTGTTAAAAGCAAGAGAATAATCAGTAGCAATTTTTCAAGAAGCTTCATTTTCATAAATGAAACTATGGAGGAAGAAAGAATTCACATGGTTCGAAAAGTTATATTATCATGAGAACTGCTACTAATATTTTTCAGGCCTCCAACAAGCATTTTTCCTGTATTCGTACATTAAACCTGATTACCTGCACTCCATCTATTCAGATAATATCGTTTTGTTGGCAACGTTCTTGAAATGTTCAATAAAAGACTTTTGTTCTTTGTCTGTGCTGGTATATTATAGCATCACTACACTAAGAGTAAAAACAATTTTCTGAAATCGATCTTCATTAGCAAAACAAATAACAATTATTTAGCTGATGCATTTTTCAAGTAAATAGTAATAGGTAGGATTTGATGCAACGCACGTATCTATTTAATTGTGCATTTTTCTTTTCATCAAGAAATAATATTACTACAAGATCTTTGTTTTTATTACTTTTTTTATTCTGTACTTATTAAACCGTGCAAAATGTCAAAAGATCATAGTTTATTATTTATTTCTTTTACATCTAAAGGTATTGCTTTTTAGAATCAAGGACAGATGAATCTGCTTTAGTTTATGCTTACAAAGTGATTGGTTTCGACGATAGCTTTAAACATTTCCATTATCATGTTATGTTAAATGTTATGATAGAATGTGCTTAATAACAATCGCCGAGCTATGTAACAAGCTTAGATAAACTTTTCTATAAGTTCAGAGTTGCTACTATCCTTATATTCTCTCAAATGAAAAAGTTTGTGAGTCGCATGAAACTACTGATTTCTATGGTTCAGAATTTTTCACAAAGATTTTTTCATCGTTTAATATTTTTCAGTTTACTCATTAGGTTATCTTTTTTCTAGTGATTATATCATCTTTTTATTTATAAGGATGCGGCAAAACACACGCCTTCCAACAAATATTGAAATCTATAACAAAAACGGAAAAAAATCTTTCTGTTCACGTATATGAAGCTGGTACTTATGAATCGGAAACTAACTGAATCAGATTTATCATCCATCATTACTCATATAGGGAGTGGGTGTGTGAGTGATTCCACTGATTCTCCTCGTCTATACACACACCCACACCCTGGTATTCTGAAGTTATACTGATTGGCTATTAGTGCCTGCCTATCTTGACTTCTCATTAGTGATCAAACTTCAATTTCTTTTTAAGACGGTTTTCAAATTCAAATTTTACTGATCTATTATAACAATTTTCTTTGAACCTCTTTTATTCTTCCGTTTTCACTTTTATGAAATAAAGAGTCTTACAGGGGGATATGAATGTATTTATTTAAACCTCGATGGATTCGAAGCATAATATGACTCATTTTGACTATTACTTAAACAATCTTCATCTGGTATTGTCAGAATCCATTACTACATGGAAATAACTAGATGGTGAGGGTGTACAAAGCATGTTATGATCTAGAGTTTGAGCTTGGTTAAGGGTCATCATCAAATGACTTTGACTCTGCTACATCTACTCGAAATGAGTTCGATTGAGAAATCATATGCAAAGTATAGTAATTGATACATAATTCCGAAGAAGATTCAACAAAGTCTAATTTTCGAGCCGATAGATCAGTTCAAAACTAGATCACACTATTCCTTAAAAAACAAGACAAATTAATCTGTTTCTCTGATTAAACAGCTCAGATCAGCCAGAAAAACTGCCTGGGCAGATCTGTTTACGCAGATATTTCGCACATATGATCTGAATTTGGATATGAGAACTATTGTAATCCTAATCTATTCGAGTGGAATACATACATCTATAATATATAGTGAAAAAGAAAAGATTTTTCTCGCACGGTCAAGATGTAATGATCCGGCATCTATATGTAGAACCGTCTCCATTAATGTGTACTGCTTCGTACTTTTTCTCTTTTTCTTTAATACATAAGTTTATTCTATTACAGTTAGTTGATTTTAAAATGAAAAAAAGATGATATTTTTTTAAATAAGCGCTAACGTATTCAATCTAATGCACTAGAAAAGAAGAACATAACACCAGGAGAGTCAATAACGAAGTCTTGTTTTCATATACATATTTCAATTAAGTGAAAGAGAAAAAGAATAAAAATCGATTTATTAGTCATGTTAAAAAGCGAAAAACAACACAATCTTTTTACGAATCATATTAAAAACAGAAAACTATCCTATTGCGACTGTTTCATTTTCACAAGCGCATAGCAAAACAACACAATTTCATTTTAGTGAACATACTAGTTGTAATTATTGTAAAGAAAATCTGTGCAACTATCTTCATCAGTCTTGATGTAATCCTTGGATTGCGTTACCTTCTTGTAAAATGGTGGAAATTTGAGTGAAACAGATTTCATTTGACGCTCCAAGGGCGTTATCAAACCTCCAACTTGTTTCGTGATTGAGAAAAATGCGCAGTAAATTTTAATAAGATCAAGACTGCAGTTACCAAAGATAAATTGTACAAGTACTACCCGAAATAAAAGTAATAGATTATGCAAGAAATATTGAACGGATTTCAGTTTGCTCATATATTATTGTTCTATCCTTCTAATTAGATGTCATTTTTCAAGAATTTAATCGATAAAATTGAAGGTGATAAGGGTGATCATCACTCTCATGGTCACCGGTCACAACAAGGTTCGAATAACTTTGACGAAGATTATCAAGGCGAGTACCATGGCGAAGCTCCTTTTCAAGTACCTCCACGGGAGAATCCATATTCACGTCAAGGAATCTCGGAGCCGCATAAATCTGAAGACAGCTACGGACAACCCGATTACAACGAACGGGAGGGTTTTTCTCGTGAATTTGACAATGAGTAACCACCACGATACGGTGATCACCAGCAACAAGAATCGTTCAATCGAGAATGGATCAATAAAGATAATAGAAGCCAATCTCCTCGTCGGTTTGAAGAAAATAAACGTGAAAATCATAATCGAGAAGAATATGGGTATGATCGTGAAGATCGTAATCCAGAACGATATGGAAACGATGACAAAGTCGATCGCAATTACAATGAAGAATATAGAGGAGAACCAAGTGATTCGCGCGAAGAACAAAAGTATAATCGTGAATATAATCAAGAACATAGACGTGAGGAAAATAGTTGGCGCGATTAATATCAACATCATTTTAAAGGTGAAACAGTGGCATACTATTTTCAAGATTTTTATTGCACGTTATTGACAGTGAAAACTATTTCCTTTTTAGATTTATCCAAACTTAATAAAAATTTTAATATTCGTGTAGTAAATAGATACATGAGGCTGAAACTACCCCAACACTATGCTTATTGACAACTTCTTTTTTTTTCCAGCTGTCTATTTCTTTTTCGTGTAATTCTATTAACTATATACATGCGCTTATCCCTTCGAAAATCCAGTTCATTGTTTGCCCATTTTCCTCTATGATAAATCATTGCATTTAATATAGACACGAAAACATATTTTTGATTAGCTAGCTTGATAAATGATAAGAAAGTAACGAAGACTACTAATTGGAACAATTGAAGTAATGAAAACTCGATTGATAGTTTCCTATAGAAGTTGGTTTGCAACTCTCGATAGTGTGTGTATTGGGTATGAATGTGTATCCTGGCCTGACAGAAGAGAATATTCACACCCAAACCCAAAAATATATCTAAAACTATTTTGGGGTCTAGTCATGTATGGTTTTGTACAGAATTTCAAGCGCTATCTTTTGATAATAGAAATAACTCCGACCGCATGGATACTAGAGAAGAAATCTCCGAAATACTGAGAGGCCCATTATTCCTGGGACACCCGATAATTGGGACGAATTGTGAGTGACGAATAGTAACGGGGCGAATTGTACAGGGACGAAATGAGTGGTCACCGCGCTCTCGAATCACATGATAATGATCACTCGAAGAAAGACAGATGCTTTTGACGTTTGATTGTTTTGTGAAAGAATGTGCCTCCGCTAATTTCATGCAATTTTATTAATACACGTAGGCCTTGTCACAGCTTAGTAGTAGTTCGATGATACTATAGTAGAGCAAGGATAAAGAAAGATGTCCATTGGCGATGAATGCCATGTTTAACAAAAAAAAAACGAACGTTGGAAGTGTTTGACAACGTTTTATTAGAGGTTAGATACCCTTTCAAATCTACCTGGCTTAAGACATCTGCTCGTATAGCAAGACATACGTAGTTCGAATGCATAACACAGAAAAGCTTATCTGTTTTTTTTTGGTATTTTATTCTGTTTTCGTTTCTATTTGGTGCATAATTCTGGATCATGACATTGGATTCGAATAATATGAATCGAAAACGACGACAGTTACGCATTTTATTAGCATGAAGAAACATGTTCGTTTGAAATTACAGCTTTGATATTACTTGCAAATTTTTTATCATTTCCATTATGGAATTTCTTCTTGTTGAACAGTCAGTGGAGAAAAGCTTTTTCTGGGATTGCAACAGGACTCAATGAGTTCATGTGTTGCAATATTTATATTCTCTCTGATGTTATTTGATAGCTATCAACTCCTAAAGAGCGAAATACTTAGCGATCCATCAAGCGTCTTCACTATTGCATCTCTACATGACACATCCTAGTATCGATTGAATTGAGTTAAGATAGTTCGGTTTTTTTCTTTTCTCTTTACTGAATGATCAAGTAAGTGACATGATTATTTGATAATAAACTATCAAAACCACATTTAATAGAACTTCAATTCTATGGAAACAATTTTTTACAATTGCTTTCTTTTACAGAAAACATATTTTCTATTCTAATGATTGATTCGTACATTCGTTTGTATATTACAATTATTTTTTTATCAATTCGGTTTGTTATTAATACACAAAGTGATCCATTGTCTACTTTGGAATCAACCATAATTTCTCATGGTGGACAAGTTTTGCGAGTAACTGATCCACAGTACAAAGCAGCAACTACACTTCATAATAGAGCAATACAAACATGGCCCGATCTTATATTACGTCCAACAACTTATAATGATGTATCATTAGCACTTTCAACAGATTCTTCTATTCGAATACCGATTCGTATAATGGGAGGTCGACATAGTCATGGAGGTTATTGTAGTCATCAAGGTACAGTTCTTGATTCTGCGCTCCTAAAAGGTCTCACAATTGATTGGACAGCGGGAATAGTAATTATGCAAGCAGGCGTTCTTTGGCAAGATGTTTATAGAGTTTTAAATGGATCCGAATATGTTGTAATGGGTGGAATATGTCCAACAGTAGGTGTTGTTGGTTTTACATTTGGAGGTGGTAATAATGCTATGTATAGTCCTTCGTATGGTCGTGCAACTGATAATGTCCTTAACTTTAAAGTAGCATTATACAATGGAAGTATTGTGACGGCATCATCTAATACTAATGTAGATCTATATTGGGCACTACGTGGTGGTGGAGGTGGAAATTTTGGTTATGTTCTAGAAATGACACAAAAACTGCATCGAATCAATGGTACTCTGAAAAAAATAAAGGAGGTTTACAGAACCCTCCGAAAAGGTTCTGTAGATTTTCAAAATGCTCCAAATGTGTTCAAAGTCTCAAAAAAAGGATAAACATTTTGACAGAACCTTCAGANTGAAGGTTCTGTCAAAATGTTTATCCTTTTTTTGAGACTTTGAACACATTTGGAGCATTTTGAAAATCTACAGAACCTTTTCGGAGGGTTCTGTAAACCTCCTTTATTTTTTTCAGAGTACACATTTGCCTAATGGTCAATTTTCATTTTAAAATATAACTTGGATAGATGTAGATATTAGAACAGCTCTTATCAGTTGGATGAAATTTGTGAAAGAAATTGCTGATGTTAATACTCGCATTTCTTTTCTTGTACTTTTGGTTGTTAACGGCGAAAGCAACTTTCTTATGTTGAACTGTTCATTCAATGGGCCACACTTCGATGCTGACAAAGTGTTTCAGCCGTGGTTGTCACAAAATCCGAAACCTACCTTTTACAGTGTGTTCAACTATACACAATCTGATATAAGTAGAGTGCTCGGTATGCCGTTTCCTGTCGTAAATCGAGAACATATTTTATCTAGTATGACCATCAATATCACTGAAGCCATGTTGGATGTTATTTTAGATTTTCAGCCAAATTCCACTCTTGATATTGGATCATGGACGGAAATCGTTTATCTCCATAATACCAATAAAGATAAGAATACTGCCTATGCTTTTCCTGATATTGCATTTGATATTGTACCAGGTATTTCATGGAAGAATCCTGATTATGATCCTTATGCGAGACAAATGAGCGAAAAATTCCTTGAGAAGTTAATAGATGCAGCAGCACCTACAAAAAGTATTGTTGGAGCATACATTAATCATATTGATCCATATTTACGAGACTGGCAAACAATGTATTATCGTAATAATTGGGATCGTCTTCGAGATGTTCAAACAAAATGGGATCCAACATGGTATTTTCGGTTTCCACGGGGTATTCCACCTCGAAAATAACAACTATAGAACGCATATGAATAACTAACAATAACACAAGGAGGAACAAACTGATTTCGTGATTTCTGATTTCAAAAATCAAAATGTGATTTCATTTGGTTTCCACCGCTTCCATGGGAATAGGGATGCACCCTCCAGTCGCGACTCAATCACTGAACATTAGTGTCCGAAAGGGTACCAAGAACTACTGAATGTCTACTGAATGAACCTAGAGTGAATTCGACTATCAGTATTTTTATTTGAAAGCACTAAAATTAAGTGAAACAATGATATCAGTCTACGAATTATTGTTATACGATCGAACTCATTTTATCATTCTAGCATCATTTTTTCTTTGATCACTGCTATTTATGAGCTAGTCCATTTAAGCCACGACGGATTCGCACAGAAGCAGTTCAATCGAGGTCGTTATATTTCGCTCAATTAAAGATATGTTGTAAAGGGAAGAGTTCTAAGAATTTTGACGCACGCCGCTTTAAAAAGCATTAAGGCCTCCCACCCCACCCTGAAATGTCAATTTTCGTCAAATTTTTCGATTTTTTGATTTCTAGCGCACCTTATAGAGCATGATGTGAGCTATCGAATGCACTATGACTTATTCATTTTACGACTTTTTTATGGTGAAAAACTCATTTTTTTCAGAGCCCCCTACTCATCGAGAGAGTGCTTTTTTTGAAAACTTCTATTGTCGATAAGTTTTAAAATCCTTTGAGGGTGTGTGAAAGGGATTATTGTATGCAATACATGTCGCTAGTATATTGGCTTTGAAAAATGTGTTAATTTTCATTAACTGATTGAATTTGAGTATTATTTTTGTGCAATTGTTCAAACAGTCTTTCTATGATAAAGATTTTCATTAAAAAACTCTAAGTTGTTTTCATCTATTCTAGAGAAGCTTTAAATCCTGTTTACTATAATAGAATATAATATCTTCGATGAAAACTACGATTACTTAAATCCTACGGTACAAATCACTTCTTAGGCACCAGCACATATCGTCGCACGACATTTCGTCGCGTTCACTTCGTCGCAGAAAAATTCTTTTCGTTCTGTTCGTTCCTATCTATTTGTCGCTTCTCTCTTAATGAATTTTTTTTGTGTATAACCAATGGAAATAGCATAAATTAAATGAGAAATTACCAGAGATGTGTACAAAAGCGATAGATAATTAATTGTGCTAAGACATATAATTTTAATTCGGTAAAAGGATCAATAAAAAATAGTATTCTCATTTAATTGTGATAGTGCTAAAGCTAATAATGACTAATCAAAATGGTCGCTCACTTCATGAATTTCAGTGTAATCTAAACTAAAAAAATACTGATCCGAGATTCTTAACTATGAAGCCGTGCCAAATAAAAAAAAATGCATTTCACTTCTCAATTTCAACTTTCAATGCGCACTACTTCTCAAGCAAAAGGTCTCAAACAGGAAAACTGTTTTCTATAAAAGAAAAAGCAATGATGCTCCAAGGTTACATCTATACTAAAAAACATACAATAACGACGGAATTTATTCTTCGATCTCAGAATCAAGATTGTAAAGCTAAGATCTTTTTGAACACCAGTCAATTAATTGAAATAAAAATCATTTATCAATAAAACTCGTTGTTATGCCAATTTATCCTTGAACACATTTCTCTCAGCACTAATATCACACTCTCATGCTCCGAAGCCCGATCGTTTTCATATTATCTAATTAAATGACATTAAAATTCGACTGATCAACTCCCTCGGCTCATCTCAACTAGATCAATTCTTAAAAAATATAGCAGCAACATAACTCTTCAGATCATTTTTTTCTTTAGTTTTGTTTTTTTGCTTATATTTTTTTTCTTAATCTATTCCTCATGATGTTGTATGTTAAGTATGCACAAACTACACCGAAATCAACTGATAAGTTTTCCATTGGTTATACACAAAAAAAAAAGAATTCATTAAGAGAGAAGCGACGAATAGATAGGGACGAACAGAACGAAAATTTTTTTTCTGTGACGAGGTGTCATGCGACGATATGTGCGGTCACCTGATTTCATTTTCTATATTGACATGATGTGCTGGTTTATTCGAAATGTGAATGATGAGATCATTTTATGATAATAGTTGTAGATATGGAATCATGTGCAAATTTGTGACGATGCTATTACGAAAGGAGTTAATTGGCGATGATATCGTGTGCCTTAGTGGTAGATTGATTTGTTTCTAAGATTTATTGTTACATTTCATCTTCTTTTGGATTGAAAGATTTTTTATTTATTTATAAATAACAACATGAATTTGCCAATAAATAAAATCACTGACAGGCTAGATTTGCTTGAAAATTCTGTGTTTGCTTATCAGTTTCATGCTGCATTATGCTCCCTGGATTGATTCTCGCATGTGGAATATGCTTGATCATACTGGTCATCAACTGTTGTTTTAAATTGGGATTCAAATAATTTCCAACGTTTAGAGAAGTATTGATTATCTCTGTACCATCGAAAGTGCGACTCCACAATTCATGAATATATCGCTGATTATTGTTGAGTCTTTTTTCATGCCTTTCATGAATGATGAGACTTTTTATTGTTGTGAATTCGTTGTTCTCTGTGGGTTGCGGAAGCAGGTTTTGCAGGTTTTTGTCATGAGTTTGATCGGTAGTTGACCTTTTGGCTATTGTATCGTATGTTGTATCTGTTGATGTTGTCAATAACTGATCACGTAAATAACCGAAGTCATCAGAGTTATTGAGCATAGGCAAAATGAAATTTTTGGATAAATATTTACTGAATAATGTACTGAGTCGCCAATCGATATGTCTTGGTTGGTACCTATAAGTCAGATGCAAAGCATGAGAAACGTGAATGAATACCGGAAACTCACCCATTATAGAGAAGCATGAGTTTCATTTTTCGTATTTCGTATTTCTTCCTCGAATCGAGAAAAGGTTGTTGAATAACGAACTGGTCTTGTAATAGCAGTATCAACAGTGTTTCTAAAAATATGGCCACGATGATCTGATCCAAATGGTATCACATATGGCTCAGTTACTTCTTTATGATGCAATGAAGTTACTCATACTTCGTTACTATTCTGAACGAATACATCAAGAAATGGATCACTTCTACCAATTGGTCGCACTAGTTTAATGTTTGGATGGAATTTTTTAGCTTCATCTAATATTTGGTCGATAGATTCGAGTGAATCGTTCGACGTAAAGAAAATATCCTCAACATATCTAAAATGAGGCATAATAGTCAAAGTATATTCTTTTATAAACCAAGTTAAATACCGGACGTAGATCTGATTGGATACTTCCAGTCGGTGAACAAATCGTTTCTGCCATTTCCACATGAAAATACTTAGGTCGTACAAAAAGTTCCCAGATTGCTATTGGCAATTTTATAAACCAATTAATATCGAAGAGTGTTGTGCATGGATAAATAGTGGAATGTCTTATCTAGAGTAGTATATATAGTAAATCTCTTTTAGATTTAGTTATAGTATTTTTTTCGATAAACTTTAATTCGAACTAAAAAAAAAATTTCAAAAATGGATAATGAATGCAATTGATATTATATAAAAATTCGAACTATTTTGGGGATAAATCCAAAGACAATTCACGAAGAATTTGCAACAGCTTTGGGATCCAAAGCTCCATCATATCCAGCAGTTGCAGAGTGGGCAAAGCGTTTCCGTGAAGGAAGAGAAGATGACAATGATGATCCTCGATCTGGTCGCCCAGTTTCCGTGCTTACAGATGAAAATATTGAATTAATACGACAGGTTGTCAACAATGATCCACATTCAACTTATGATGATATTATAGCTGAGACGTCTCTCTCTCGTGGTACAATAGAACAAATTATCCACAATTATCTCAAGATGAAAAAAGTTACATCTCGTTGGATACCCCATCAACTGAATGATGAACAAAAGCAAGAACGAGTTCGACTTTGTCGTGAAAATTTAGCAAAATTTCGTGATGGTTCCTGCCGATTATGTGATATTATTACAGGTGGTGAGACGTGGATTTATCATAGGCAGATTCATCACAAGTCAACAAACAAAACCTGGATTAGCGAAGGTGAATCACCACGTACTATCGTTCGTCGACGCAAATTTGAGCGAAAAAAATTATTTTCTACCTTCTTTAAATCAAATGGTCCTGTTCTAATACATGCTGTTGATAGTGACGAGACTATAGCTCACGACTATTATATAGAAAATTGTCTCAAGCCTGTTGTCAAATAAATACGAAAACAAAGAAAGTCAAATGGTAGTAAAGGCATAAAATTGCTTCACGACAATGCTTCACCCCATCGTCATTCAGATTTTATTAATTATTTAACAGAAGAAGGTATCAATATAATACTACATCCACCATATTCACCTGACCTTGCACCCTGCGAGTATTTACTAAATGATTACATCAAACAGAATTTAACTGATCAACTAGATGAAAAATCATTGGCTCGTGAAGTTTCCAAGCTAATAAAAAATATTCCAGAAGAAGAATTTAAAAAAGCTTTTGACAAACTATTAGAGAGGATGGAACTTTGTATAAATCATCATGGTGACTATTTTGAACACTTAATAAAATATAACTCGAATTTTCTCTTTGTCTTTATATATTTTTTAATAATCTGGAAACTTTTTGTACGGCCTAAGTGCATATATATATATATATATATAATGCAAACGAGCTTTCTAATTATCATTTTGATTATAATCGCATTTGGTAAGGTTGAGTCGAAGTGTGTATAACATCTATTGAGTTCTTATGCACACTCAATAGCTCTATCAGTAATGAGTGATTTGAAAATTCTGTTGATTCTTACTTTCAAATCCTTCTGCATCGACTATTCATATCTATTTCTAGATACCCACGAACAAATACTTGAATTAAACTTTTGCACTTAGCTTTCTCAATGTCTAACTCAAAAATAACTAACAATAATGAACAGGTATCAGTATTAATATATTTTTTGTTACTAAAGAAAAAAATTCTGTTAACGTCAATGTCATAAATGTTTTTATATGATATACAGCGTCCTATCAATGTCAAAGATGCTAGGGCGCTGCATTTGATGAACGGGATTTTTTTTATCAATGATAGAATATTTCCATATAGCATGCGGCGTCCTAGTGTTCTGTTGATATCGAAAACGTTAGGACGTTCCAATCGATTAGAAGAATGTTCTGTTTTTAATTAGCTACATGAGAATCTCTTGATGTTCATTTGATTGTGTATGATGATGTTTATGCTCATCTTTTTTCAGCCATCTATGGATACTGATTCAAATGAAAAAATAAATTGTTGCGTTGATGGTTGTCCATCCAATCTCAACAATAATTCTCTTTGTCTTACTCAGGCAATAGAGTTCACTTGTGAAAATTGTACAAACAAATTTTGTTTTACTCATTTTGTTGATCATATGAAAAAAGGAGAAGACGATCCAAAGTAAAAAAGATAAAATCAGTTCTGTATGAGTAATATTGTGCTCTTTTTAGATCAAACAAAATATCATGTAACTCAACTTCTAATCATGTGTGTTCAACTGGCTTAGCTATAATATCGGGTCCGCTATAAACTTTTTGAATCTAAATTTTAAGAGACTAATTCTACTTTTTTATACAAAGAAGCCCTGGTACTTCAACCAGTGGTTACATCAACACCTATTAATTTAATAGAGTTCAATTCATCATTAAAAGGCGCCATCGTTGAAGATGAAAATCACCTTATTGCAAATAATGTAATCGAAGTTATGGATTCAAATATGAACAACCAGGCTGATATACTCATATCAAATGACGTTGATTCTAAATTAGAAACGACTATAAAAGAAAAGCCTTATATGCAAAAGCCAAATCAAACTGTAGAAAGTGAAAATTCGCTTGAAGAAAATACTGAAAGGCTAAATTGATCAAACTTTTACCTTAAAAATATAACGACTTCTATGAATTACATGAAAGTTTTTATTTCGATTGTAACAAAGTTTCCATTAATTCAATTGAACGCAACTGATAAATCACCGAGAATTAAATATTTATGTGTAGCTGGGAATATTTCTTTTTATAATAAATGATATCATTAGACAGTAAACTCTAGATACATCAATATCACCGAATGAGCAACTGGTTTCAATACAACTTAGCTTTGAAAACAAAGTTAATTTTAAGCACAAATTTCTGAATAATCTTTTACCTGGTAAAAATTTCAGTTTAACATACTCGACATGAACATTCTCTTTGATAGATTTGAAACTATCATATTACTTACTCATTGCAAATGGTGACCTTTTTAATGAGGAAATTAAATCTTTATCTCAAGAAAGATACATTGAATCATCAGTTCGTTCATCTAAAAAACAAAAATCATCATGCAAAGATTGTTATCGTGAAAAACAGAAGGAAGCAGCCTCGGCTGCATTGAAACAGGCATCACTTGCTAATGGTTTATTTAATTTAATATTTATGTCATCCTTCTAATGATAACTTTTCTCTTCTAGCCGTTGCTGTAATAAAAGATACCTTTCCATTTGAGTATCTGACTTTTGGAAATCAAATGAGATGTAATATTGAATATGAACTCCAACAGATTGAAAAGCAAAAAGAAATTGAATATAAACCAGTGTATGATTCAACATCATTTAAGTAAAAATTGTTTTTACAATGATTTCTTGTGATCTTTTTTTTCATTATAGAATTCCTGAAGAGCATCGAGACAAAATAAACGAATGGCTAAAGTATGATTTTTGCATGCGTATTGAAGGAAATATTACTTGATCAAGATACATATTCTTGGTTGGACCAGCTCAACATGGTATTTAAGTTAAATGTTTCTAATCTATTCAACTTATTCAATTTTGACGTAGGCAAAACATCGTGGGCACGAAGCTTAGGATCACATCGTAGCTTCTCCATTAATTTCTCATTTCGAGTTTGATGTTTCTTTTTTCTTTTTAAGAAAATAATAGTTTCATTTAGGAACAGTGCTGCCACCTTTTGAAGTCCGAAAAGCAGAAAAAAAATTATAAATATCAGAAAATGACAGAAATTTGTTTCTGGAAAAGCAGAAAAAAAGCAGAAAGTATATTTGCGATATAAAGCTATTTGTAAACTTTGTCCTTTCGTACTAATCAAGAACTTTCACATCAAATTTTGATGTTTATTGAATCAAGAAAAACATTTAATTAACAAATAAGTAAGATTATTGGAAGCATTCTTTTGGACGTATAGTTCTCATTTGATTCAGTAGCTTTTAATCAACCTCTGCTGAACATATCGTTTATCGATTTCTTCTTACTGGTTAACTCTTGATGATAATTACTGGGGATGCGCCAGACCAAAGTCCAGTCAAATTCAAATCCTAGATTCGACTGGGGCTCTAGATTTGATTTCGCCTTTGGATTTGAATTGGAAAGGGTTTGGCTAGACCCATGTAGCTGGTAATGGATAAATAATGGGAAAATGACCCATTATTTTCCATTATTTGAAAAAACACATGACCTAATGCATTATTTAGAGTAATATTTTTAAACTAGAGAACTCACCATTTTCGTAAAAGAGATATTGAAAAAGGTATTTGACTGGTAGATGTTTGATTTAACTCAGCTTTCTCTGTATCAGACGCTTTTCAATAATAAGAGTCGCGCAAGTTAAAGAACTAATAAAAGATGTAACCTGAGTTGCAGCGCTCAGAGTATATTTTAAATCCCTTTTTCCCGATAATGGAAACCTAGTCGTATTTTCAGAAATCACTAGGGTATTCAAGTAAACCTACACTATTGAATACTCGAGCCAAAATCTAATTAGGTATATCAGATTACCCTTTCAGTTTCCAAAATATTTCCCCGGGCAAGCCTAAAAGTTTCCAAGTTTACTCAATCGCGACAATGTCTACTAACGAACCGAAATACGATTATCGAGTTTCAATTTGATGCAAAAAAGGCTATTAGACCTTTGAATATTTTTAGAATATTCTGTAGAATGAAAGGGATCACAGTGCTCAAACCTCTTAAGAGAGGTTTTCCCTCTTCGGCATTGCTCAGTTTCGGGTATATATAGTAAACTAAAACTGCTCACAGTATCAACTATAACCGATTCGATCAAGCATTATTCTCTCTATGAATTAATTTCTTTTCTAAAGTTGAAAGCATTTTGATACTATTGAAGCAACTGTATATCATCTATACGTTCTTGAACTGTTCTCGGTTTCGACTACAATGTGACATGATTAAAATGGTAAGTTTGAATTCAATAATAATAAAATTATTTATTCATTGTCTTTTGTTTTAGGCTTTTATAGAACTGCTCGAAATGGTAAGTTCGAACTTAATAATAATAAACATATTTATTCATAAATTGTCTTTTGTTTTAGATTCTTATCGATATGATCAAAATGACACGTTTTATATACGTATATATATGCGAGGGTTGATGAATGTTAAGGGGTAAAGTTAAGTTAGAGAGATAGATTAAGGTTAAGTGGATAGATATAGATAAGTTAATAGATTAAGGTTAAGGGGTTAAGTTAAAGGAATAGATGTGCAGAACCACAGAGATATCATTATCGTGATTAGGATATCGATTTAATAGGATTATATAGATCTTGCATAGCAAGTGCCGAATATGAAGTTTTCAATGCATTATAATGCATTAGATATAATAATGTATGCAATTACATGATAATGCAACCTATTTAATGCATTATAATGAATTATTTGCACATAACGTATTGCAATGCATTAAATAGGTTGCATTATCATGTAATTGCGTCCATTGCATCTCTATAGGAAAATAATGCATTGGAATGTCCATTATTTTGTAAAATCGGCTACATGGGGAGTCGGATGTGATATACCTCCCAAAAAGATTGTAGATTTTCGATATGAAAACGCATAAAATCTGACCAGATCTTTGTATCATTTTTATTCATTTTTTCTCGCTCTATTCCATAGTGATGCTAGATTTCGCCCAACATTAAAACAATTTCTAAAATTCGACAAGATTTGATGAAAAATGTGGACAAAAAAATCAGAATTTTAGTCAAATCTTAGAATTCTTTTAGTGCTAGTCCAAATCTAGTATCACTATTGGGCAGAGAGAAAAAAGCTGACTAAAAATTCTACTAAGATTTAGACAGATTTTATGAGTTTTCACATCAAAAATCTACAATCTGTACGGGAGGTATGTCGCATCAAACTTGTTTTACTAATCATATAGATTATTGTATTCATCAAACTACAGCAAAAAGCAATGCAAGCGAATTCAATGACTAACACAGCATACGAATGGAAGAAAAAGCATGCGTAAAGGATCGATTGAAGACAAAAAACTCACATTAGTGGTTGTTTGCACCTAGTAGAAAATAAAGATCGTTTTCTACAATTGAAAGAATTTGAATCGAACAAAATCGTCAGCAATTATTGATCACGATTCTTTTGTAATTATGGAAAAAGATCTTTGAGATGAAAAATGTTCGTTCAAAATATAAATAACGCAGTATAAAGAAGAGCAGAAAAACCTTCAAAAAGCAGAATTTTTTTGCTAAAAGCAGAAGAGATGACAGCCCTGTTTAGGAATGGCATAAAGATGTGAAATACATCATATTATATTATATTAGTTGGAAAGATATTAGTCCAATAGTTAAAGGTCTCTTGATTGCTCCTGGTAAAATAATTCTTACAGGTTCGATTTATTGTAACAATTGCTTAAAGCACAACTTTTTTTTCCATAATAGATAAATATATGACCAAAATCGAGCTCGACAACAATAAACCATGTATCGTTTGCGTCAATGATAAGGAAGGAGATATAATATACAACTCTGATACAGATAATTATTGGAAAGCAAATGGTGTGCGGATTCATTGAAGAGAAGACCAAAAATGTTTTAAAAAAGAAATCATCATGATCTTAATTACGTAGTTATCTTATTTGCACATTCTATCTTAATCAATAATTCATTAACTTCATCACGTGTTCTTTTTTGTTCTCTGTAAATAATCGTCATTTAATATTCAATACAGTCTTATCAATATTTCATTACCTTAATCACTTGTTCATTTTCTGGTTCTCTATAAATGATTTTCATAATATATGAATAAACTCAGTTAGCCTGTTCACTACCGCTTTCGTCATATTGAAAACAAGGGAAACGCAAGAGAATCTTTTTTCGTTCTGCTGTATCGATAGACGCATGTGAAACGAACATTAGATGAATAGCAGACGCTTTTATGAGCGAAACAAAGCATTTGCGCATATCTGATCTACAGTAACAGGAAGAGGAGAGCGCGATGCCTTTTGTTCTTCACTTTTTGATGTTGCTGCACGATGAAAGATATTGTTATTCTTCAATGGGTTAATCACGCAAACTAAAGGGTTCTATCTCGTCACGGATAAATGTAGGTCAATACTGACAGTATTGTTGTGTTCTAAGATGTTAGAGTTATTTCGAAAATTCATGGAAATGAAAAGGCTTTGTGCACTATTGGCTTATCGCAATAATTGCAATTGAGTGCAAAAAAGCGACATCAATAAAGATTAGCCTGAAATGGGTGACCGATGACATCTGTGTATGCCATTCATCTGTTATCTCCCTTCTGACAATGTCTGCGGCTGCTTTTTCAAAGATGAAAATATAGACAACGCATGTTTATAATCAATTAATTTACTATGAGAACTATGTTTTTTATCAGAAAAGACTATTACAACGTTTTAAACTTAAATTCACTAATGATCATTACCATTAACAACAGGACAAATATCATAAAAATTGCTGCTGATGTAGACGAAAAATTTGACATAATTTTGGCAACTAAAACATCACGTGAGAATCATCTAATAAACTTGTTTACCTATTGATATTGACAATACAATTCAATAATTAGTTTCAAAATAATAATTGGTTGGTTCCTTTCATACCATATAAAATGTGAATCAACTTATTTAATTGCCAATCTAGTAGCCAACAATAAAACGTTTGCATATGATTGTAAGATACACCTAAAAAAAAGAGAAACTTCGCTTCTTTTCCCAACCATATACCAATCTCAAACTTCTCTTTGAACGCCATCACAGAGTTCAATATGAAAAAATATGATTAAAATCGGGAATTTATGTTCATAAAATTTTCAAACTACATATTTTTCTCACCGATGTATAGTCGGTCTAAGATCACTTTGTCGTTACCCACTCTTCTCTCCCCTCATTTTTTTTATAATCAATCGATACATCTCAAAATTCTCTATCCAATTAATTATATATAAATAAGACTGGACCGACATTGTTACCACAGTCTTTCTCCAGAAATATCATCATTGGTATTCACCTTTACTAGATCTTTTCCATGATATGTCAGCGGTGTCAAATAGAATCCAATAGCTCTTCTCATATATTGACATACCATCAGAGAGCTCGTGAAAACGGCTACAATCTGACGAATAAATTAAAATCAGTATGACCTATAATAACTGAAATATTTCATTAAAACGATAAGCTCTCTAACGGAAAAACAGTGGATTTTAGTGCGATGGGAACATCAAGGCACATGAAGTCTAGATTTCACATAATGATTAAATGTGCCTGAAAATGTCGATGTAGCTTCAAAACTAGAATGATGAAAGCGAGAAAGTAGTCTTTCGACAGGAGACCAATTTCAGTTGTTAACGTCCGCGTCCATCCAAAAATCTGACAACGCCATCGTGTTTCCCGATCCTGATTACTTTCGGTCAATCCTATCCCTTCAGGATATTGTTTACGGTTAGTTAAGGTTATGCATCTGC